GGCTGGTTTGGGGTTAACGGGGTCTGTGCTGGACTTGGGCCAAGTCAGAGTTCGTGGGGTCTGTACAGGGGCAGTCCCTGCTGGGAGCCTAATGTGAGGGCCACTGTTCCTTCCAGGCAGGGTCACTTTGGGACACGTCTGCTCTGGCCAGGGAGTGGCATCCCTGCCCTGGGATGAGAGGGGCCAGCACCAGCTCCAGAGCCACTCACCCCATCACACTGCCAGGGCTCCTGCCCACAGCCACCTCCCGAGTCCCTCCCTGCTGGGAGGGTGACCCAAACCCAGGCATGACCCGTGGCACGGTGGCAGCAGTTGCCACCAGCCACCCCCCTTGTGGCCCTGGCCATCTGCGGCAAGACTCTAGCGCCGAGCTGGGCTCCTTCCTCCTCCTCCTCATAGCCTGTCATGAGGGACCCCGGGGGCCAGATCCTGCCCTCAGGGGCCTGCTTGCCACCACCCTGGACACACAGGGAGATGCCTGGTCCCCTCCCTGCCATTTTCCAAGCTGTGCTGCTTCCTGCTGGGATGGCTCCTGACACCTCTCTGTCCCATGGGGAGGTTGTGGGCTCCCCCCAGCCAAGGAGCACTGGTTTTTCCCCAAGTGGAAAAAAAAAGGAGATGTGTGAAGGAGGGGCCAGGGAGGGGGATGAATTTTCCTTGTTTTCTTTTGGGGCTGAACTCATCCAGCAGCGCTCAAGAAATGGAAAAAGGCAGTCAGAGCATGCCTTGTGCACCAAGCCAGGCACCAGCCACCGAGCTGGCTGCAACTGGGGGAAACTGGGAGAGTTTCCCACTGGTTCGGAGGGAACAGAGAGGACCAAGGCACCTGCAGCCCATGTGGGAGCTCCCGGGATGCTGGGGGTGTGGGGGTCCCATCCCTTGGGTGCTGTGGTCTGGCAGCACATAACACGGGCACCATGGCTCCGGTCGGGTGGGAGTTCTGTGCCTGCTGGGAGCAGATCCTGGCACACATGAGTGGGGCAGGGAGAGGGTCCAGCGTCCCCCCTGCACAGAACCCCCAGCTCCAGTATGCCCCAGCCACCCCCTACAGCTTTTTGGCCTGGGTGCACTGGTGGGATTGATGGGGGGGCTGCCAGGTCTGGGGGGAGGATCCTGCTGCGTGGGGAGGGGTTCCTCAGCCCTGGTGGACACATGCCTCTGCCACAGCTCTTCCTCCTGGTTATGCTGGGATGCAGCCCAGTGGGGACGTCCCCGGGTGTCCCCAGAGGTGGGTTTGGAGGAGAGGCTGAGCTGGGGGTGACCCTCCTGTCCCTCTGCTCCCGCAGGATGAGTTCCACCCCTTCATCGAGGCGCTGCTCCCCCACGTCCGGGCCTTTGCCTACACCTGGTTCAACCTGCAGGCCCGCAAGCGCAAGTACTTCAAGAAGCACGAGAAGAGGATGACGAAGGACGAGGAGAGGGCGGTGAAGGACGAGCTGCTGAGCGAGAAGCCGGAGGTGAAGCAGAAATGGGCCTCGCGCCTCTTGGCCAAGCTGCGCAAGGACATCCGGCCCGAGTGCAGGGAGGACTTTGTGCTCTCCATCACGGGCAAGAAGCCCTCGTGCTGCGTCCTCTCCAACCCCGACCAGAAGGGGAAGATGCGCCGCATCGACTGCCTGCGGCAGGCGGACAAGGTGTGGCGGCTGGACCTGGTCATGGTCATCCTCTTCAAAGGGATCCCGCTGGAGAGCACCGACGGCGAGCGCCTGGTCAAGTCGGGCCAGTGCACCAACCCCATCCTCTGCGTCCAGCCCCACCACATCAGCGTCTCTGTCAAGGAGCTCGACCTCTACATGGCTT